TGCTGATTTGAAAAGAAGGAATCAAATTTCAAGTGGGGGACAAAGTATTTCTGTAGGCATCGCCTTGGAAGAAGGTATTGCATTTTGGGCGAAAAGGAAAGTTGAATCCGAGATTCATTGGGTCGTATGAGATTTTAAAACGGGTCAGACTCGTAACTTATTGGTTAGCTTTGCCTCCGGATATGGAAAAGATCCAAAATGTTTTCCATGTATCAATGCTTAAAAGGTACAGATCGGATCCATCTCATGTTATCATTACTGAAGAAATAGAGATATGACCATATTTGACTTATGAGGAAGAACCAATACATATCTTGGCTAAAGAAACCAAGGAATTGCGTAATAAAATGATTCTGTTGGTTAAAGTGCTTTGGCAGAATCATAAGGTATAAGAGGCTACCTGGGAAAGAGAGGAGGATATGAAAAAACATTTTCCCAATCTCTTTATTTCAGGTACGACTTTAAATTAGATGACGAATTTTCTTAATGGAAGAGAATTGTAATACCCCAAATACTGAATTAGGGACTTTATTGAAAGGATTTAAATAATAAGAGGACTTATTCGATTAAATGATAAAATATGAGAATGATTAGGATTAATGGTTTAAACTAAATTGTGACAATGGATTATTAATAGGGCATTTTGGTAATTTAAATGAAAGTGAATTTAAAATGCATTATAGTAAGGTATTCAAATTAGGGGGAAAGAGGAAAGTAGATACCAAAAAGCTATTTCCCTTTATCTTTTTCTTTCGCGTGGTTAAGCTCTCCTCTATAGCTCCAATGTGAGATTTCATACGGCTAGTTTATCATTTCGTTTTTTATTGGGTTTTGAAGCCTTGAGTAGGATAGAAGCTTAAAGAAGGATTAAAAGAGATAAAAACTATGGAATAAAGAAAATAATGGAGATTTTAGAAAATGGGTTTTGAAATGATATGTTAGTATTTTGGTGTTTATTGATGATTATTAGTAGTTTTCACTTGTCAATGTAGTAAATAAGAGATTAGAAGCATTGGATGAGTTTTAAAACAAGTTATAAATTGTGGTGTGATTCTTAGAATCAAATGATCTTGAGGGATACTAGATGTTTTGAGTAGTTAAATGAAGGAAGTTAGTATGGATAGTCAAAGAAGAGTTTAATAGTATTGTACGGTGTAAATATAATGAAATTTGACCCCATTGGGGGTGATAATCGAGTTAAAAACTGGAAATTCTGGGCATGGGTTCGGTACTGATAGAACAATACCGATACTATAGGCTAAATTGGGATGAATATGCTAAGTAGTATCGATACTGAAATCAGTATCGATACCAAAGGGGGAATATCGATACCGAAGGAAAGGTATCGATACCATTCAAAACAGAATGCAAAAATGGTATCGATAACACAGCATAGTATCGGTACCATAGTGTGGTAGTATCGATACCGTGGTATGGGTATCGATACTGAGAAGCCAGAAATTTTTAGATAGGTTGATATTGTTGTAGAAAAATTAATAATAGGTTCTATTGAGTAATGTTTAAGTGAAATTGTTAGGAAATATACTAACAATTTATATTGTACATGTATTTAATGGATGAATAACCGTTTCGACACTAAGTGTGCATTTCACGAAATTCATCCTATGTGGATGAATAAACGTTTCAACAATAAGTGTGTATTTCACGAAATTTATCCTATGTGGATGAATAACCGTTTCGGCACTAAGTGTGCATTTCAGGGAATTCATCATATGTGGATGAATAACCGTTTAGGCACTAAGTGTGCATTTCAGGGAATTCATCCTATGTGGATGAATAACCGTTTCGGCACTAAGTGTGCATTTCACGAAATTCATCCTATGTAGACGAATAATCGTTTCAACACTAAGTGTGCATTTCACGAAATTTATCCTATGTGGATGAATAACCGTTTCGGCACTGAGTGTACATTTCACGGAATTCATCCTATGTGGATGAATAACCGTTTCGGCACTAAGTGTACATTTCACGGAATTCATCCTATGTAGATGAAGAATCATTTCGGCAATAAGTGTGCATTTCATGGAATTCATAATATGTTTATGAATAACCGTTTCGGCACTAAGTGTGCATTTCATAGAATTCATAATATGTTTATGAATAACCGTATGGGCACTACGAGTGCATTATAAAGAAATGATAATGACTGGAAAATAATGACTTAGTATTTTATAGATAAGAGATAATGATATAATGAGTTCTTTGTATGATTAGTTTTGCCTCACTAAGTAATACTGAACGTGTGTTTATTTCACGTGTAGATTGAATACCAGCTGAGTAAGAAGATCATTGGACATCCAAGCCAGAGTTGCCTAGTCAGTAACAATATGACATATATGTCTACTTTTGATGTATTTTAGTTGACATGTAATAGGTTTAGTAAAAACACTCAGAAAATATTTGAATTAAACTGTTGTAAAACTGGTAATTGTTTGAACATCTCTTTTGTTTGTTTAATTAAGTAATACATGTTTTTATTATAAATGAATTAAATGTTTTATAAAAAGAAACAAAATTTTACGGGTTGTCAAGAATAAACGTTTTAAAAATGATGTGACATATGTACCTCGTATACGTAAAGATAAATGGGAGATGGGTGTTACACTTTACTTTTCAAAAGCTTACATCTTAATCCTTTAACTTCCCAAACCTTGCAAAATACTCCCTAACAACTCAACAAACGTCAACTAATCCAAATCATTATTTCAAGTATACAAGAACATTCTAATACTCAATCTAACCCATAGAACATTTTATAAAATTTTCCCAATAAACCTTCACCATAACCGAATTTCTCGAAGTAGCCCCCTAAAAATTTTCATTTGTTTTCATGCTTGAATCATCTTCTACATATCTTTTCCATTCTTTCCAAATCATTTACATAACAAAACCAATCAAATTTCAACATTTTCTCCTATTTGTTCATGATGGAGGAAAAATTCAAGTAAGTCCCTATAGTTGTTTTTAATCAATCTTCATGCTTATTTATGCTTCCATAACAATCATAAGATCCAAATTCAACCTTATTTCAACCAAATACAACTTCTCCTTCATCCACCAAAAATACATATTTTCTTATTTCAACATGAAACTATGCAATACTAATACCAATTTGTAGAGAATTTAGTTTAGAACAATTTCTTATTTCACAACTTAGTCCTAAATCTCACTAAAATGGATCGAAAATGAAAAAAAAAAAATTTCTTTACCTTGTCTATGGTGTTTCATCTAACAGTCGAAGAAGAAGGGGATTTCTTGAATTTTGTTTGCAAAATATCTCCTAATTTTAACTTAAAACCTCATTTAAAATAAATTAAAAATTATTTTGGCTCAAAAGTTAAAATTATCATTAATGAATCGTTATATTTATGCCCAATTTAATAATATTAAATAAATATAAAAATTCTATTTATCAATTTTCTTCTTTGCCTTTCCAATTTTTTAAATATTTAATTTAGTCACTAAATTACACCATTCCACCCAATTCCACTAATCTACATCAAATTCCACTTATTAAAATTATTAGTATAATTTTTCTAACCCAAAACTAAATTTCTTCAAATTTTTGAAAGCTTCTAATTTGATCTGGTTATCCGATTCAAGACATGACTTTATTGCTTTATAATTTTTAATACAAATTCCAAATCAAAATTTTGATTCCCAAGAAAACTATAATTTCGGGACAAAATATTCATTTATGGCCAAAATATATAATTTTTTAAAATTATATTTTTGGTCCCTAAGCTTTTATAAAGTTTATACTTTAGCTATTAAACTTTCAAAACTTATATTTTACTCACTAACAAAAAATTAGTGTATTACATGTGGTTTATTTTGAATAACATACAAGACACCCTTTTCAAAAAAAATACTATTATGAAATGTAAGGTTTACGTTTCTTAATTATTTAGTTTAGAATTGAATCATTCTAGGACAATTAATTATTATATCAGTCAAAATTTATCTACAATATTTTATTGAATATTCAAAAGCTTAAGAATATGGAGTATATCATTTTGGGTTGATAATAAGTTAACGGAAATTAGAACTTTTGTAGAATGTGTGCGTTATAAATTAATTAAAAAATTAAGTATATATCATCTAATAATTAATTAGACTATTAGAAAAATAGAACTTAAAACAATTCATTTTTATTTTATTTCTTCTTTAAAATATAAGTTGGACCCTCCAAACCATGTTTCTCAACATTTTTGTCTGATTTAGTCCCGTCCTAAGCTTAGAATTCCAACATCAGCGATTGCCTTCCACGTGTCCCACTAGTTAAATTTACCAAAAAGGTCCAAACAGATAGAGATGATCACCATTCCACTATCCATTTCCAAACAAATCAAAAAGCACTTCTTTTTCCACTTTTTCTTATTCTTATAGGACTAATTGCGTTAGGCATCTCCGAAGTTTGAAATATTTTGAAGTAGTCCTTAAATTATTAATATCATTTTAAATACATCCCTTTATTTATTTAATAAATTATTTGAATATTAAATATTTATTTAAATCTAACGTGAAATATACTTAAAACTTTAGATTAGATTTTAAACAATATATACTGTATGAACAATTTAGATATATCAAATAAAAAAGTTATTATTATTAAAATTTAATAAGATTACTTTTTAATATATCATACCTAAATTGTCAATATAATAATATAAAATATTTAAAATCTAGTACATATATTTTAAATATGTTTTGAAGTATATTTAAATTTATATTTAATTTTCAATTAATTTATTAAACTACTACAAAGTATTTGAAATGATATTAATATTTGAAAATGTTTAGTGGAATTAGTTCTACTCTTATATTCTATTCTTCCCATTTCTTAATTAATAAATATAAATTCAGAGATAAAGTATAGATACATAACTGTTCGCTTTCTCTTTCGTTTTAGATCTCACTTATTATTATTATTTTTTCTAATTTTTCAATCTCTAACAACCAAGCATTCCAGAGAGAAAATGGCGACTCTTCATAAATTCAAGCTTTTAGCAACGCAGTGCGCCGTTGCTGGAAGCCCAGGTAGTAGTCCTATAACCAGTCCCGTTCTCCATCTCCGCCGTCGCAAAACCTTTCGCATGCTCCTCAACCGCTCTTCTGCCACCGGTCGTCGTCGTTTTCACCGAGATCACGAAGACAGAGACATCGTTCTTCCTCCTCAACCTCCGGTGCCGTCAACTACCTCCAACTCCGACGGCAAGAAAAAATCCAACGAGAAAAAAAGCAGGAGAAAATTAAAGGAACTCTTCGTGGCGTCGCCGCCGTTTGAAGCGAGAGAGAGTAACAATAAAAGCTGTGAAGAAGAAATCGAAGATCCGTCACTGGTTACCGTTAGTTCTGGTGAAGAGCCTTCAAGTCGGGGCTCTGGTTCCCTCAGAACCGTAACTGCGTCGTTCCGGTATAGATTATTAAGGAGGGCTTGGCGACCGATGCTGGTTACTATTCCAGAGTGAAATTAAACTACATATATATTTTTTTTATTTTTGATAATTTTCGATTAAAATTAAATATGTGCAAAAAATGTAGCATTTTTATAATCGAATTTCTGGTGATTTTTCCTTGTGATTTCAAATTTTGATTTATTTTTCTCTTGAACTAAATACTATAAAATGGAATTGGGATTTTGTTTTATTTTATCCAAGGAATTGAAAATGTCAGTTTTGATTTGGAGAATTCACTATACAAACGTGCGCTTGACTCCTCGATGATGCTAAAGTGAGCCTGCCGGTCGTTTCGGATTTAATAAATTACATCTAGTGCATAAAGCGCCTTTCTTTTAGATTTAGTAAAACAAAATTAATTAAAAAAAGAAATAAAGGATCTTTTATGCAAATTGAAGTGGCCAATTTTATTATTAAAATAGAGGAAATATTTAAAATTAAAATGAAAGTTTATAATTAAATATATTATTAAAATATTTCTAATAATCATTTACATTAAAAATTAATCATTTACGACCATACATGGACAATACAAGGAAAATTCATTTAAAAAAATTGAACAAACGATAAATAAGAATATATATGATTGTATCGATAAACAAATTATAATATCATATCAAGTTACTGAAAGACCATCAACAAACGAAAACTAAAATCGAGCCTCGTGAAAAAATTATATACGAAGACAAATCGAGTATCTAAATTCAATTTAAAGGTCCAAATATATGGAAGATCAATCTAATAACAAATGAGTGTCCTTTTCATCAATCGATATGATATCAAATCTAACATTGAAAAAATTGAAAAAAGATAATGATCAAAACAGCTGAAAAAGACCAAAATCGTGTCAAAAAATAAGGGAAAATGTATTACAAAGACAACAAAAAACCAATCATAAATATACAATTATTAAAAATTTAAAAGTAAAATATAAATTAAAGATGCGATATAAGAAATAAAATAATAATAAAGAATATAAACGATAAGAGCCCAACATCAAGATTAATGTTGCGCGGACCTACAAAAATAAAAGAAGAAAGGACACTAGCGGTGCAAAAGAAATGAGACGAAAAAACTAAGACAAAGATATTAGGAAATTAATAACTTTAATGAAAACAAGTGTTGATATTTCTCTCGATTTGGTGAATTTTAATTCATGTATTTTTTTAATTTTTAATTTTATCTGAATTATATATAAATAACATGATTAAATTATATAGCTTTAGAATAATCAAATTAAATAATGGTTAGTACATTTATAATTTAACATAATACATATATTAATAATAAATGTAACATAATATATTAAATAATTATCATTTATATTAAGATTAAAATTTTATAAACATAAAATTAAAAATAATTAAATTTAGAATATAAAATTTAAATTCACAACCCACTACAAATAAAAGAATTTGACAAATTATAACAATACCCAAACATTTATTATTATTATTATTATTTTTGCATTTGTATAATTCGTTCAGAGAAATTTTTTATAATGACAAAAGTCTAATAATATTTTTCAACTAACCCCTGTTCTAGTATTTTAGTTTACTGTTACTAAAAACTTTAATAATGTTTTTTGTTAAAATTTATTTAATATAATCATAATATGTAACGTGTCAAGAAAAAACGATTATACAAATTTTTAGTTTTTGAATTTATTTTTTCAAAACTGTAAGTATCCTTATTTCTTAAAGAAATAAAAATCCAGAAAAATGTAAAATATTCATAAGAGTATAAAAGTAAAAACGATTATACAAATTTTAATTATTAAAAATAATTTTCAATTTTCACATTTTTATGATTTTATATTTTTGTTGTTTTTTTAAAAGAACATATTGAGTGATTTCAGTGATAAAACGAAATATTATTCTCTGCAGAGGATTTAAATTCGAGCAACTATGATTGTAAGGTGTGTGCACGCTTTATCAATATACTAAAAAACTTTTAAACATATAATATCTTATAAATACTTCATACTATTCAAAAAATATTAAAAATGTAAAAATAACTATTGGAAATATAAAATTCTATTATTTTTCATAATTTTGGTTTCAGACATGTTTTTTTTCTCAAAAGTACGGTCATGCTTATTTTATTTAAAACAGTAAATCCATGAAAACAGGCTGAATTTTTAGAATAATGCACTTGGAAAAATAATTGCTCGAATAATGCGGTGTAAAAATTATTTCACGAAATAGGTTGAATGCTACAGGAATCCCGAATACGCGCCGTCGTCCCAGCCGTGCCCTCGAAGACGCATGGTTGTCCATGTGACAATGGCCAACTCGAAGACGCATTCCTTTCAATGTGTCTTCCCCCCTCTACATGCATCTGCTACGTGGACCAACCCCGAACACCCCTCGAAGACACATGGCTTTCCATGCATCTTCCCCATCCCCTCTTGCATGCACAAACGACGTGGACCAACCCCGAAAATCTCTCAAATACGCATGGTTTTCCATGCGTCTTCCCAGCCTCTCAAATACGTGGACCAGTTAAAGACGCACTGCATGCATGGCGTCTCTCAGTCCATGCATGGCAGCCCCCTGCCGTGAATTGAAGGCCCTTCACGCTGCCCCCTGCATGGCAGTCTACCACTTGCATGGGGGCATCAATAATGCTACAATAATAGAGGATGGAGGGACGGTTGAAGGGTTTTTTGGAGCTATTAAGGGGGTTGGTTTTTGAATATATGTGTGTGTGTGTGTGATGTAGGGGGGAAGTGTAACTCGGGAGTGAAAGAAAGAAGAGGAGAAGATAGAGAAGAAAGTTAAAGTCGGTTTCACTACATTATTCCATAAATTCAGTCCGATTAGTTTTTTTTTTCAAAATCTAGATGATAAATTTTAATTTGTTCAATTTATTAAATTGATTATTTAATTAATTAATGATGTTTAGTTCGAATGAAATTTAGTTTAAAAAAGAAAAAATATCTTAAATTTAACTTAAAAGTAAATTAGATTAGGTTTAAAGGAGAAGATTCAAACAAGGTAATTTTGTGTTATTGTTTTTTTAGGAATTTTTACTGTTTAAATTAAATTAGTTACTTAGTGTAGATTTATTTTTAGATGCATGGTAGATATTACTTTTATGTAACTTTAAATTAGTTAAATAAAATGTAATCTTTAAATTGAATTCGTTACAATATTATGTCATTAGTTAAATAATATTGTCTTTTTTGTGTTGAATACTTAGTTGTAGTTACTAGTATTTGTTTCTTTATGCAACATTTCCTTCTCACAAGCAACTTTATGTGTTATTAATTATCAATGTTATTAAACTATTTTTTTACATATTCGTTGAAATGGAAGAAAAAAACAACTACTTCATCTCGACGCTCAAAATATTTTGAGTCATTTAGGAGCGATATTGTTATTATTATTTAATTAATATTATTATTTGAAAAAAATATTAGTTAATGATAGAAGTTTATTTTATGAATAATTGATTAATTTCACAAATATTATAATTGTAGGAAGATGAGCAGCGAGTACTCATCAGATTAATATTCCCGGTAAGCCATACCCTTTGATTGAAGATCACCTGGAAGAGTGGATTTTATTTTACATTATTCGGGAGTATAAGTTGGCCCCGGGTTTGATAAGTGCATTGATTGAATGTTGGAGGCAAGAAACACATACATTTCCTTTTTTTTTGTGCGGAGAAGGCACGATAACCCTAGAAGATGGCCTTCCAACTCGGGGTTCCAACAAATGGGATTTCAGTGGTGATGAGAAATGATTACAATACCGTGGAAGCACTTTGCAATGAGTTTCTTGGGCAGACGACAGTAAGCCCATGTTTAAAAGGGTGGCATTTGAGGTTGTCGTAGTTGGAGAATCAATTTAAACTCTAAGAAAATAGTACCCAAGAAGAAATTGTATATGCAACTTGAGCATATATCTTGCAGTTGATTGGGGAGTTTTGATGCCGAATAAATCCGATAATATGGTCACACGCAATACCTCCCGTTTTTTAGAAATGTTGAGAATACTCGTCAGTATAGTTGGGGATCTACGATATTGGTGTTCTTGAACCGTGAGATGTACAAGACATCAGTAATCGTGAAGAATATTAATACATCAGAAATCGGTGGATGTTTGATGTTACTACAATCTTGGGCTTGGCACAGACTTTTTAACACGATTTGTCGAACAACAATTGATTTTCCTCTTACGGAAGGTAATATTATTTTCTCTATTTTAATTTAAATTCTTAATTAGAATTTATTTATTTTGATTAAAAAATAAGTAAAGAATATTTTTTATATACAGATGGAGGCATAAAATAAAAAGGATGAGACTAGGGCATAATAATATTAAAGATTTAGGTTGAATATCGACATTTATAGAAAAAGAAGGTATTTTAAAATATAATATAAATATAATATAATAATAATAATACTATTTAATTTAATTTAATTTAAACTCATTTATTTATATTTATTTCTTAATTATACCTATATAATTTATTTTGCTTATGAATTAAGTTTTGGAGGCCATATTTTTATAATAAATATAAAATAATATTATTTATATATAATTTTATAATTTCGCGTTTAATTAATTTTTATAAATGTTACTTTTACAATTTAATTGGAGGTCGTACATAGAGCAAGAAGTTTTAGCGTGTGCGCCGCCAAAACTTTTGGAGGGTCATGAAACTTGGGTGTTGTACATCATTGATTCATTTTGCTTTTGTTGAAATATTGTTGCGGATCGAGTCTTAGGCAGTTCGGGTGCCACCAACCAATTCCGCCCATTTCATGGGATCATTACCCCTTACACAGATTAGATGGACGGGGTAAGCACAACGTGAATTGGGTTGTGATGCACGCAGACTACATTAATGCTTGGAACAACATAGCTTAATACGTGCCACCTCTTGATCCAATGCAAGATGATGAATTTAATTTGAGACTTCGGTTTACTTCAATATTATTGGGATCATGGAAAGTCATACCTAATGATGTTGGGAGAAAGGCAACAGTTTAAAAAATATAA